TTTTTTTTTTTTTTTTTTTTTTTTTTTTTTTTTTTTTTTTTTTTGTGGAGATTCTTACTATTTCTTTAATTAAAATTAGCCGGTAAAAATGCATAAATTAAATAAATAAAAATTGCAACATTTGTATCTAATTTTAATGCATATATAAATTGCTAATTATATCAGTTTGGTATGTCACGTTCAATTATTTTAAATCTAAAGTTTTTATTTTATTTTTTAAATTAAAGGTAAAAAGTATACATCTAATTCTTTTTCTTATTTTTAATTTTCTTTCCTAGATTATTTTCCATACATTTATGGTACTTTAAAGCCTTTTCATGCCACAATCAATAGGAAAGAAACACGTGTCATAAGAAACTTTAGAAAATTATTAAATGCGCATTTTTTGTTGGATAATATTTTGGATTTCATCAAATCAAATGCAGGGCGATGAGCGGCTCATGGAGGCACGCTTCGTTTCTCAATGTCACACGTGTCTTTATCCAATTGGACTGTCATTTATAGTGCATACACTTCACTTCTTTGCCACACGTGTCCTCTAAGAAGAGGACACGCGTCTCCTTCTTTCCAACAACAACGGAAGTAAGCCCACCAAACTCTCTTTTTTACTTTTTTAATTAATAATTAGGTTCCAAATTTCTTTTATTATTATTATTATTATTATTGTTGTTGTGATATAATTGGTCATATTTAAATTTAAATTTGTATATATTTAGTGACTTATGCTATTTTTATATATTTGAAACCTTTGGAAGGAAATTTGATAATTTTATACCAAAAAAATATTTTTAGTAAGAAATTAATCATTTAAATGAGATTTTTAGTAAAAATTAAATATTTTAATCGAACTAATACTATTTTTTCTTTTTAGGAACCAAATTTCTATTTGAGTTATTGACCTTGATTCGTGTTAGTCTGACTTTTCTAGTTCTTCGCTTGGTTGTACAAATATCATGTTCGAGTGGGGCATTACATACACCACCCGTGCTTCACTATTGCTTCACCAAGCTCCTATACTTAACACAAACATCCAATTATCTTATGGTTGCTAAAATAAGTTAAGCTTCACACGACTACCAAAAGACTTCAAAGTCGAAAGATCTACGACACGTTGGAGAGCTTTTAGATCCAACTCTAAAACTTAACTTAACTAAAAATTTGATTAAAGCTATATCTACTTAGTCATTATACTTCGCAAAACTGCATCAACTTCTTTAGACGGTCTGACTCGTATACTCAAAACAAACCGAACCGAAAGGGTTCTACTCCCATTCACTGTAATAGAAAAAAAAAAAAAAAATTATAATGGGTTTTTGGCTAAAGAAAAAAAGGGGAAGAGGTGAACGTTGATGATTTAAAATGGTGACGCCTGGCTCAAGTAATTTGAGGTCATTGCCTATGCCAACGCCACACACCCTTCTATTATCAATTTTAAATCTCCGCCGTTCAAAATTATGCATATAATAATGATATTAAAAAACAGTTTATCGTGATTGCCATGACCTCATCTTACATATTATACTTTATTAGATAAACAATAATATAAATTTAAGAATCAATTATGTAGAAATTCCATAATGGATAGACTTAAAATTTAACATAATAATAAAAGAAATGATTTTAAATTTTGGGAGTAGAGAAAAGAACCTAACTTTGCTCCCAATTATGTGCGCAAAAAGAGACAGCACAGCTAGGTGATGCCCTCGGTAGGTGTGCAGCTCAGCTTTAGAGAGTAGGCGATAATGGGTTATGTGGCGGCACCACAATTTCCTTCCTCTATGACTCTTCTCTTCCGCATTTTATCAAACACCTTCCCTGCACAAAATTACACGACACCTCATACCCTTTTTCACATTAACCTAATCTTCAATCCCCAAATTATTTGGTCCAAATTCATTGCTGCATAAACATGTGACACCCAAATTATCAATGGCTGCATATTGCCCCCACCATATGATGCCTCTGTTTCTGCTCTCTCTCTCTCTCTCTCTATAAATATATGCACCTGCAGAACCCACTTAGAAGTAGTAAGCTAAGGGTGTTTCAGATTTTTAGCTCTGTTGAGGAAAAAAAAGAGAAGGAAGGTTGTTAATAATGGCTGCCAAGTACCAAGCGAGGTCCATAAGCTTGCCTTCTAGATTGCATCCCTGTGCTGTGAAGGTTGAGGAGGAGTTGAGGAAGGTGAAGACATGGGTGTCTTCTTCTTCTTCTTCTGCTTCTGTTTGTGGTGCTCTTTTGGGATTACAGGATTTGTATGACTCCATTGATGAGCTTCTCAAAATGGGTTCCACCCAGCAGGTTTTGTCTTGTCCCCAAAACAAACAGTTGGTGGACGAGTTGTTGGATGATTCTATGAAGCTTTTGGATGTCTGCAGCTTAGCGAAGGACATAGCATTAGAAACCCAACAGCATGTTGGGGCTCTTCACTCTGCCTTTCGCCGGAGGAAAGGCGATTCCGCCATGAAAACCACCACTGCTGCTTACATTTCCTATAGAAAAAAGATGAAGAAAGAAGGTAAAAACTTGATAACGTCAATGAAGAAGATGAATGAGAAATTCAACTCATCCACAATGCAAAATCCAGATAATCACCTGAGCTCTGTGGTTGAAGCGCTGAGACAAGTTTGCTCAACCAACAGCTCCATTTTCGAATCCGTGTTGTTGTACTTAACACCATTGACGAAGCCAAAAGCTCGAGGATGGTCTTTGGTTACCAAGTGGGTGCACAAGGGGGCGATTGCCTGCGAGTCAAACAGTGCCATGAACGAATTTGAGAACGTGGATGTGGCTTTGAGCTCTGTTGTTGAAGGAATGGAGGTTGAGAAGTTGCAGATTGCTCAAAGAAGATTGGAGAGTTTGGAAATGGCGGCACAAGAAATTGAGAGTGGGTTGGATGGTGTGTTCAGGAGATTGATCAAAACAAGAGCCTCTCTGTTGAACATAATATCTCAATAGGAGATGTATTGTATTTCCATAGCCATTTTTTGACACCCTGAATCCTGCAAAGGCATCCAACTTTTAGGGATCCGCCATATGGATAGTTAGCTCGATTCCATGTCCATAATACGATAGTGTTCTATGTGTTCTTGATCCAAACAAGAATAACAGTTTAATCATTGATAATGATAAAATCTCTTGCTTGTTCGATCACTTCCTTTATGTGTTCTTATTCAATCACCATCTGAAAAAGGTTCAAAAGATAGGGATGAACAGAGTACATCATAATATCATATTAATTCACATCTAAATCTAAAAGTTGAAACTTGTTGAATCTATAAGGAAACTCAATACTTCATTCTATCTAAGATTGCCCAAGAAATCTGTACATATTCTAAAAGATGAAGTTCAGGGGAATATGTTCGCATCTCCACCTTGATTTCATTTTCACTCACATTACCATAGATTTTGTCCAAACTACTCTCCAAACTTCTCCAATTATCAAGTGAAGAGTGGAGGGTTGGTTGGTGAAACCTTTGACTTCTCTAAGTAGGAGGTTCCAAGCCCAGTCAGCCATCTAACTCAATCTGCCAGTAGGCTTTTAACGTCCCCATGGCAAACAATTTGAATGGACCTTGTAACTTAACCCACCCAACCTGATTCCTCATCTGCCCAAGCCTAGTGCCTCTCTTCAGAGTCAATTTCTTGATTGAGATCCCATGTGAATTGAGAAAGAGAACTATCGACTTCACACAGCAAAACTAAAAAAAAAACGTAAAAAAAAACGTAGGGGGTGAACAGCAAATACTAATGAAGACCAAACTTAGAATTTCAAACAAGAAAAACGAAACATTTCTTATAAGAGTGCAAAAACTTTTCCCTAATAGAAGCGTTTTAAAGATTTTGAGAAGAACCTCGAAAGTAAAAGCTCATAGAGAACAATATCTACTAGTGGTAAGCTTGGACTATGACAAATGATATCAAAATCAGACATCGAACGATCGAACGATATGCTAGTGAGAGTGGGCGAGACTCTTACACCACCTACCAAAAAGTTTGTGAAAAATTCATTCTTTTCAACACTCTTCATCCTCTTCTATTCTGAACAGTAGTTTCATTAATGCCATCCCCCCGAAAAAGAAAACTCCATTAAAGCAGCTTCCCACAAGATTGCATTTGCGTAATCAATGGAAAAGAAATTAAAGTGGAAGGGATGAGTTAGAATCTTAGTGGAAAAAAGTTAGTGGAGTCCTAATGAAGCAGCTTCCCACATGTTGCACAAAATGCAGCCTGTAAAAATGTTGAATAGGAAAAGTAACTAATATGGTTTACTCAGAGTTTCGACAACACATGTGAATAAGTTCATAGCAAACACGAATGGTGTGGCTAAGAAGGCACTAAATTGGTATCCTTCCCTAGTTTTCTATCTAATCTTGATAGACATTTCCAATATTCAACCACTAGTTGAAATAACGCAATAGTAAAGCCATCCCATGACTACCCACCAAATGCTCTTATCTCCAATCATTTGCATGATAAGTTGTCTCTCATCACCAGCTGCCATTTCCCAGAGGATTTGATTGATAACTCATGTTTCTACTCCTCTACAAACCCACCCAAGCCATCTCATCTGGGCTCCACTCCCAATCCCTCTCAATCCTTGCCAAGATTTGAAACCTTAATCCATTTCACCACCAAAATCTACCCCTAAAACAATTTACAAGACCTCAGATTCCATCAATATCCCGTGGAAGACCAGTTGCCTGATAAATTCTAGAAGTTTGAGAGCCATTTCAAGGTCAACTTTACATCAACCTCCCCCTGAAACAGCCTAAAAGTTCTTCTATATAATGTGTAAAACAATAGGAGGAGGAAAAAGACTGCTATTGTTAAACGAAATCAGGTCCAACGTCCATGGGGATGACTAGTGTCAAGTCCCACGTCAGTTAGAGAGGAAAACAAACTATTTCTTATAAGGGTGTAGAAACTTCTCCCTAGTAGCGCATTTTAAAACCGTGAGGCTAATAACGATATGTAAGAAGCCAAAACGGATATTTGCTAATAGTGGAGTTGGACTAACAAATGATATCAGAGCTAGATATCGGACGGTGTGTCAGTGAGGACGCTTAACCCTAAGGAGGTGGATTGTGAGGTCCTACGTCGGTTGGATGGAGAGTGAGAAGAAAACATTCCTTATAAGAGTGTAGAAACTCTCTCTAATAGACGCATTTTGAAACAGTAAAGCTAACGACGATACGTAATAGAAAAAAACGAACAACATCTACTTGTGATAAGCTTAGACCTTGGACCTTGAAGTGTTTTTTAATGGCCGACTCTTACTACCAGGTTTAGTTTAATGGCTATCGATTTCCAACGCTATTGTACCTTCAACTCTCAACCATGGAAAAGCGTGAATTGGCGGTGTGGCGGTGGAGATATGGGGGATGTTAATAAGGGATAACAAGTCACTTCCCCCTCAACCAGATGAAAACAAAATCAAGTTCCATTAAATATGGAGACTGAAGGATGCCAATTTAATATTACTTTTCAGCCGGCAAAAGATGTGACTTCATAACCCACACCATTGATGAATCTTTGGCCGCCTTCACATGCTCAATTCGGTACATTCAAATCCTAAACAACTTCCCCTTTTTCTATCCACTCTGCCTATATAAAGCTATGATGGGAAATTGTGGATTTCATCTACAAGTTGCCCTCATTAGACCCTCATACAGAATTGCAACAGAATAGCAATGGTAGCATTTTCACAAACACCTTGGAGTCGGTATAGAGATAGATGTATAAGCTTACCTGCTCGATCGCATCCATCCACGATTCGGGTCGAGCAAGAGCTAGCCAAGCTTCGATCCTTGGATTCTTCTTCCTTCTCAAGCATTGAAGCGAATTGCAGCGCTCTCTCCGGCCTGGTGGAGCTCTACAGATGCATAAACGAGGTTCTGAACCTCCCACTGGTCCAACAAGCCCTAGCCTCACACCGACGGGAAAATTGGGTGCAGGAATTGGTGGATGGCTCTGTAAGATTCCTGGATATCTGCGACAATACGAGAGACGCTGTTTTGGTGATAAAAGAAAGCATTCGACAGCTCCAATCGGCGATCCGGCGAAGCAAATACGAAGATTCGGGCGTCGAGAACAGCATCGCTGCATATATCAGCTTGAGAAAGAAGATCAAGCATGAAAGCTTGAAGAAATCGCTCGCATCGCTCAGACAAATGGATTACACCTCCGGAGCCTCTCCTCCTCTTCAATTAGAGAACGAAGTGACGGTGGCGGTGATCAGAGTGCTGAGAGAAGCAAGCTCCATCACCTCCTCCATCTTCAACTCTCTATTGTCTCTCCTCGCCGTGCCGGTGCACTGGAGACCGAAACCTAGCCGATGGTCAGTGGTGTCAAGACTCGTGCACAAGGGAGCAATCACACGCAACAATCAGGCAGAGAGAGCCAACGAGTTGGAGAACCTGGACATGGCGATCGAGGCGATGCAGTTCGGATCGTTGAGAAGAGACGCAGAAGCGGAGGAGAAGATTCAATCGATTGTTCGAGAGAGACTGTTGGGATTGGATTCGAGCATTGAAAGAATCGAACATGGAACAGAAGGATTGTTCAGGGAATTGATTCATACCAGAGTTTCTCTTCTGAATATAATTACTCAGTAAAATTGGTCGCATTGTGATTTCCCCCCCTCATGAAATCCGGCGATGAAAATCGGCTCTGTACATTCGCGCACTGAACTCTATCCTTGAATTTGATAATATGTTGGCTGTGATTTTGAACCAAAAAAGTGCTTTTGAGTCTGTATAAATCCTTCTTCTATCTTCAAGAACACTTTCTCTGTAATTGATCTGTGAGCTGAAATCCAAATCAAATAGAAGAACTGCATTGAATCTTTGGAGTTCCAAAAATCATATCACTTCCATTTGGATAAATATTTGTTCTATTGTCCGTTTTTGGTTTGGCTTTCAAGAAATTCAGTTTCAACCTTCATTTCCCCATTCAACATTTGCATCAGATCTGTCATCTATTATCTTTAACAGAATCATAATCTTCTTGTTCATAGTGTTACTTTTCGACCTCTCTCCAACCATGTATCAGATTGTTAGATTTGATGTGTTTCTAAGTTGTTCTACTTAGACTCGACTCTGTCATGTTTGATGAGTCGAGTTGCGTTCTTTTATCTTCTTTTTTATTATGTATGGATTTTATGTTCGGGAGTCGTCTAATTTATTAATATAAATTAATTATCTAATATCTTCGTCGTGACGAACCATTTCGTTTGAAATTTATATATTTAAAATAAAATCTTTGACTAAAATGAAAGATTTTTAGAAGAATAAAGTAAAGAAAATCATATAAATTAAAAAAAGTGATCCCAGTCAACATTTTCTAGATATTCAAAAAGAAAAAGAATTCTAGAAATGGAGTCCATGTCTATGCTTTGAAATTCCACTTTAATTAATTAATCCGCTAAAATATTTGTAATTCATCTATTTATTAGTACGGTGACCGTGGGCAGAGATGGATAACGTTTCGGCCGTTCAGATCCTTCGATTAGGTACGATGACGAAAAAAGACAAAAGGGTATATTGTAAGATCCCTTAATTAGGTATAAGAATCATATCACAGTAGCCCAATCTCGTGCATAGTTAAGAAGATCAGCCCAATCTGAAATGGTACCACCGACTTGATCGTATCACATATATAGGTATCATTTGTCGTCGAGACCTTGCTTTGCTAGCATTTTTATAGAATAAGCTCCCCGTATCAAAGTGGATATGCAAAATTTTCATACCCCGTTACAACCCGTGATCTTTTTTTATCGAAAAAAGTAGCGAGAAAAAGTAATTTTCTAAATAACTATTCAATACAAGTGACATCATGCCAACGTGGCAGTTTATCCTTGCCACGTGTACACTCTGGAGCTACATCGGATTCTTCCTTCGCGCTTCAAAATCCTCTCCAACGGCTAATATCTAAAATGGCCACGTGGCAGTGGGGGCTCCTTCGCTGATATGCCGTTCAACGATCCCCCTTTTATGCCCAAGCTGTCACACACTTTTGCTCTTCCATTGGCCGTTTCACTTTCACCTTCCTTAATCCCACTCTTCTTCTTCTTCTTCTTCTTCTTCGTTACCCCTTTTTTTTCTCCGGCCATGAGCGCCGCCGATCGTTCCGTCAGGATCATCAAGAAGTTCATCTCCCTCCTCCGCCGTGGCTTCAACTCCTCCAAATGGTACTACGATTGTTTCTCAGAAATGGGTTTCGGATTTTTGTTTTAAAATGTGGGAAAATTGAGAGGAATAGGGATTGATTCGTTTGTTTTTTCTTCTGGATTTTGGGGGTTTTTCTTTTGTGACAGTAAAACAGCGGCGAAAATGGCGGTGGCGAGGATAAAGCTGCTGAGGAACAAGCGAGAGGCGGCGGTAAAGCAGATGAGACGCGACATTGCTCTGCTTCTTCAGTCGGGTCAGGACGCCACTGCTCGGATTCGGGTCATTCACTATCTTCGATTTCTTCGCCTTCGTTAAAAACGATTAAATTGAAATGTTTGAATCAAAGAAATGAAGGTTGTGATGTTCAGGTAGAACATGTGATAAGAGAACAGAATGTTTTGGCTGCCAATGAGATTATCGAACTCTTCTGCGAGTTGGTTGTGGCTAGATTATCAATTATAGCGAAACAGAGGTAGAAACGTTTAAGGAGAATGGACTAAATTACTCTGTAATGGGTGGATTTTCTTGTGATGTTAATATCAATTGGTGCAGGGAATGTCCGGCAGATCTGAAAGAAGGGGTTGCTAGTTTGATCTTTGCAGCTCCGAGGTGCTCTGAGATTCCAGAGCTTTCTGCACTTACCAATGTTTTTGAGAAGAAATATGGGAAGGATTTTGTGTCTGCTGCCACTGATCTAAGGCCCAATTGTGGAGTGAATCGGCTGGTAACTACATTTTGGCCTTTTACTTATGGTCGGTTTTGGTAACACTAACGCCCAATTGGTTGGAGAGGAGAACAAAACACGACATTATAAGGGTGTCGAAACCTTTAGATGCATTTTAAAATCATTGAGTGAAAGCTCGAAAGGGAAAGCCCGAAGAGACAATGGTATCAGAGCTAGACACCGGACGATGTGTCAGCGAGGAGGCTGTTCTCCAAATGGGGTAGACACAAGGCCGTGCGCCAGTAAAGATGCTGGGGGCTCGAGGAGGTGGATTTGGTGGGGGTCCCACATCAATTGGAGAAGTGAATAAATGCCAGCGGGACAATGGGTCCTGAAGGAGGGTGAATTGTGATGTCCCACATCGGTTGGGGAGTAGAACGAAACACCCTTTGTAAGGGTGTGGAAACCTCTCCTTAGCAGATGCTTTTTAAAAGCTTTGAGGGGAAGCTTGAAAGGGAACGTCGGTGGGCTTGGGCTGTTACATGCTGGTCCTCAAGAGAATGGAGGGCTTGGACTGTTATATGTTGGCCCTCAAGGGGATGGATTGTGAGATCCTACGTTAGTTGGAAAGGGGTTTATACGGTAAACTATTGGGGGCTCATGTAGCCTACGCCGGATTAATCGTATTCTGGGTCGGAGCAATGAACCTATTCGAAGTGGCTCATTTCGTACCTGAGTAAAACGTGTTTTAAAACTGCGAGGGTGATAGTGATAAGTTAGTTATATTCATAGAGCTGTATTTGTATTGAATTGCTTGCGTTTGATTTTCCAGCTCATTGACAAGCTCTCTGTTCGAACTCCTGCGGGTGAAGTGAAGCTTAAAGTAATGAAGGAGATTGCCAAGGAGCACCAGATTGAATGGGATACGACAGAATCTGAGAAGGAGCTACTAAACCCTCCTGAAGAACTTATTGTCTGTTCCATTCTCCCTCTCTTCCTATCCTCTGATGATAATATTGTAATAAGTTACCGATGTTTTCGATTGTCGTTTGATCAGGACGGGCCTCGGAGTTTCGTTAGCGCTGCTAGCTTACCTGTGAAGCCTGCAGCAGCAGCAAGCCAATCTGCTGGAAATGATGCTCAAATTGAAAGGTAAGGAGGAAGGTACATTGGAACCATTTGATACACTCCATTGGAGCTGTTCCTCGACTCGATTCCATTGTCGTGTCTTGTGCAGGAGGAATGGTAGAGAGGATGAAAGTATGCACTTTCAAGATACAGCATCAGCCGCAGAAGCTGCTGCAAAAGCAGCGAAGCAAGCGATTGCTGCTGCAGAGGCAGCTGCCTATCTAGCAAATAAAGACATGAATTGGGATGCTCGAGACTCGGGTTTCGATCTCAGCCCTCCTGCTAATTCTACCCCGATCTGCTCTCATCATATTGATCATCAGTTCAAGGCAGGAGAAGAGAGAACAACGAATGTAAATACAGATTATGAGATGGCTTACAGGAGACATAGCTATAATCCTACCGACATAAAGTTCGACGAATCGGATTGTGAAGAAGAAACTCAAATGGACGACGGAGCTGACGGAGGTGATAGTCGACCTCCTGATGGGAATCCTCCACCGATACCTTCATCTCGTGTCCACCCCAAGCTGCCTGATTATGACACTCTTGCTGCTCGCTTTGAAGCTCTCAAGTACAGGAAAACTTGAACTTAGTCAGAATGTTGTTATAATTACTTGCCAATGATGCATGTAATTACTCAACCTTATTGCATTCAAATAAACCAGGAGTATTCTTTTGTTAGCTGTTTACAACACCCTATATAATCAAATACTGTAAAAAGATCAGAGATTATGGTATTCAGAATGCAATTCTTATACAATATTGGTTGAGATATATTGATGAAGTTTATCATGGTGTGTGTAGGCTTTGGGTCCTTGAATTCTAGGGCGATCAGAAATCCGAACGAACCTAATCTAAACCAAATTGAACTGAACTCGAGTCTAGTAAGATTGGCTAAATGGCAATGCCCAATCATCTTGGTTCAGCTAGTTAAGCCAAAAACCAAACCAAATCAGTTTATACTTCTATTTGGAGAAAGTCAGAAATGCAATATGGTCCATTTGAGGGGCCAGTTTTGATATAAAGCATCTATTTCACCAACACACAATTTTACACCAGAAGAAGCAAGGAGGCTACCTAAGCTAATTGTGCTGCAGCTATTTCAATGGGGAAGGGGATGCAGGAAACATGCAAGCTTCTTCCTACACCAACCACCATAACCTAGTGGTAACTGAAAGAATGTTAAGCAAATAGTACAGTGTAATAAGTCAGCAGCATCTACACCTCATGATGTCCGAACATGTGTACAGTCTCGATCGCTCTTCAAGCATCTGAGCTGAAGGCAGGGGCTCCAAGTTATATATGTTGCTTCTGTGACAGCAGAAATCGTATAGATTGTGGCAAACTCCTTTGCTGAAGGGATAAACTCTTTCAGGAATGCCCCTGCAGAGAACCAAACTGGTTGTTATTGCTACTAAATTTAAATGCTCGTCCAAAGCATTATATCTTGGAAGTCTAACATATAACATTCCATGTACAAAGTGCAATATGAATCTTAATGAAAAGTTTCCAAAATGGCTTTCTTTTTTTTTTTCTTTTTTTCTTTTTTTTTTTGTTGAAATGCTTTGTCACGAGAATGAAAGAGATGAGCAAACCTTAAGTAAAAGATTCGCCTACGTCTAACAAGTTCGTATGTTGTCTGATTCGTAACGACAAGATAGCTGCAAAAAGAAACAATGTCATAACTACAGCTACGTCATCGGTCATAACTACTAAATTTAGATGCTCGTCCATGACTGGGAGAATGGGGGTAATCAGCAGACCTATGAAATAGAAGCAAGAGCAGTAGAAAGATTAGCGCAATCGATAAGGTAATCAGCAGCACAATGACAATCACAGCCTTCCACCTGAGAATAAACCGTTCAAAGATCTTTCTTCAGCATCAGTTAGTAAGTTCATGGTTTGTGATCACTGAATTTGACACTAGAAGTTCAAACCTGACACTTGCACACATCAAACCTATCAGCTTCTACTTTTCCTATCGTTATCTTTGGTGATTTGATAATGGAATTAACCATGAAATACTACTTGAGAAGCTAAAAACTTCTAGTGCATTAAAAACATCGGAAGGATACCCTACCAAGCCCGCACTATATCAGCCTTGAGGTATGAAATGAACAATATGCCAGTCCACAAGCATAAAGCTGTCTCCTCAAAAATGTACCACCTAAATTGTGAGCAAAAGTAACTTTTGTAAGCGAATTTATCTTAAAAGATATAAGACAGAAAAAAGAAGCAGCACAGTAAACAGTATATTTCAACAATTAAGTAGAAGTGTAGTGGTAGCAATTATAGTAGTAATAATATTCTTCAATTAATAGGAACTTGGAACAATTTGTACAATTGTTTTTCTTAACCCAATAACTATTTTGTTGAATCCATCCAAGGCTTTTTACAATTTGCCAAACTCTTTTAGTGAATCAGAACTTCTAAGAAGAACATTTTACATAAATGCATCACGAAACACATAAAACAGCTAAAGTGATGAAAGACATTCACACAAAGAAGTACCGACCACATCAATCAATTTATATGAAGTTGAATATTTGTGACATCTCAAAATTGTAAACCCACCAGAATCGACAATGATTGCCCTGACCAATACATGTCCCAAGCCAAACACAATGATGATCAAACTGAAGTACGCATCGATCACAATCATGGCAATGCTTTGTTCGTGGAGGCTGCAAATGTACAAGGAAAAAAAAGTGGGACTAATGAAGGAAAAGTTGAAGACTAAAACTAGATAGATAAGTAGCAGAGCTGATGTGCATAAGCAACCATCCAAAATAAATTACTCATTTAAATAATTCACAGAAATAATACCTAATCCATCTATCATTTTTATAACCAGTCCAAGTTTCAGTACCAGTGCATATGTTCTACTTCATTAGACTTCATATCTTTGCAACCGAAATTGACAGGAAGTTTTGAAAGATTTACTAACTTTCCAGTTCAATTCGATAACAATTATCTTATAGTATATGGAAAGCAAGAGAAAATTCAAAGGGAATGAGAGTAGATATTCTGAAGATTCTTCAGAGAGTTAATTATCAGAAAAATGTTTAGGTCATTGTTTTTCAAAAGTAGTAGTCTCTAGATATTTTTCTTTAGTTTACTTTTCTTAATATCCTATTTTTTTTAGATTAAGAGAAATTGTTTCTATGTCTAAATTCATAGGCTAGTGAATAGTGATTTCAAGTGTATAATCTCCTTAACAAATCACTGGTGTTCCTAAAAAGAGTTCTTAGCCAACCAATCACAGTTGCTAAAAGAAAGTTTATTTTTCTAAGCAACTCCTAAACAGATTTTTCAAAACAATTTCCATACAGCCTCTTACTCTTCAACAAAAAAAAAATGCAAGACTATGAGCCACCAAGATTATTGATTGAAGCAATGATGAGAATAACACAAGAAACTGAGTAAAATTTGATATAGCGTGAAGTACCTGCTCTACATGGCAATAAGAGCAGGTAAAATTTCTGCAAAACAAATCGAAAACGGTAAGCAGTGATAGCAGTTACAATTTTCCTCAACTTCACGTACATGAATGATATTCTCATATTGTATTGGAATTTTGGGCACTTAAAGAATAGTTTATTTTGCAAGTATGAAGTGGTTAAGGTGTTATCATCCTTAAGCCCGGAAAAAAATTAGTAATTTTAGCATAGATATCAAATTGAGAGCGTTAAAAGTGGATGTCCAGAATCACAGAAAAGAAAAGTAAACAGCTAAGAATGCATGTCCAATTGCAAAATTTATGTCCCAAATCGGCCTTTATTTATCAGAGTTGTGAAAACATGCATCACTTTTCCTAAAGGAATTACTTCAATCCAAGACATAAGCTTCTCGAAAAGCCAAATAAACTCCTTGACCATCCAGCTAAATTTTAGTCCTCTTCTCCATGTTCAAACTAAAAATGATTCAGTTCAATATAGTCAATTAAATAAGATGACAAAACCACTGCAAACAACCATGTCATGTTAATGTGTATGCATGTTATATGCAACACAACTTTAAGTCGGCTTGAGAACTACCAGATTCGACTTCTTAGACATTGAATGGAAATATAACACGTATTATATAATTAGAAACGAAAATTTTCTTCTCAAAGCAAAGTTACCTAAGTGGTGTTCGAGGGGGATACATGTCCATTACCATCTTTGTCCACGATGTTACATCTGCCTGTACATTATTTCCAGAAGGGCTCCGGTCTACAGTAACAACCACATTTACATTGTTGCTTGAAGCAGGCTGTCTTTGCTTAAACATTTAGAAAACAAATAAGTAATTTTAAATTTAAATCATATTCATTGGTTATTCTCCCACTAAATACTTACTAAAGGAATGGTGATAAAACTTACTTTGATGCCTTACTAAAAGCAATATCTTTTTCATTAGCAGCCCTCATGGCGTCGAGTACATAGCTGAACAAAAGGGGGCAAAGGAAGAAAAAAGTAGTTAAATTCTCCTGGAAAGTGAAATATAGTTATATAAAAAGAGATGCCAAGGAAACACAAGATAGTGGCCTTTACCCAGGAGATGAACATGATGTTAAAAAGTATTGAATGAGGGTAGCAACGAAAAGCAACAAATATGAAGCCGTATACCTGAGAATTATGAAGGAAAAAAAAAAAGATGTTGGAAACCTTTTAAGATAGGAACAGTTACAGGAAGCTATTATGCATAGTAACCAAAATGACCCGTACACTATCACTAGCTACCATAGATTAAGACCGGAACACACACTAGCAAATGCCCCAAGGCCTCTCCCGATATGTTGCAATATCTTTTTGCAAGGCTCTTGATTACTTTCTACATATTAATTTACAAAAAGAAGACAGCAGAAAGAACTCGTGTAATAGTCTTAACACCCCTGTTTTGAGACCCATATCATGTTATAACCTACACACGAGACAAGTAGTCGCATATTCTAACATCTTAGAAGTCATAGATTTCATGACTCCGAACTTTGTATGATTTAACAACCGTGAAAGATTCGTCAAGGTGAAAGTATATTGAAGCATACTCTTAGTCCTTCTTTCTTTTGGAGGAAATATAAAAGTATCAACTCTTTAAATTTTGCGTTTTCCACTCTGAGAACCCAACTAAACTTCACATCGAAAGATAATGCCATTCAATTGATGCACATAAAAGCTAAAGTTGACAGGTAGTAGATAGCTTAAAGTCACAAAATAAACATGGCGGCCAGAATAATCTTAGAGAACTTCCAGAAGAAAACGTAGTAGCTAACCCAATTTTTTCGAACTTAGAGACCCAAACCAAAACCAAACAACAACATACCATGGTTTAATCTTGATTTCTTCAATCAAATGCCGGTCGAGTGCAAATAGAACTCCAGCATAAACAAGGTGCAGCATCACCAATGCTACTTTTAAACCCAACGAAGATCTCCTAGCTGAAACCCACTTCCCACATAATTAAAATCCACACGAAAAACACAACGGTAACGATTAAAAAAAAAAAACGAAACAGCCATCAGACAAACGACGAAAGCCTCAAGTTCAACTAAAATTCAGACAAGGCAATGTAAATTAGTGAAGCCAAACCGCATAAAAACATGAGGAAAAGCGAAAACAACCTGCATCCATTACTCAGTTCCCATCTCACTTCCCAGAGTCTAAAATGAAGGATTCAAAGGGGAAAAGGTTCTAATACGTACCAGGATCGGAAAGACAAGGAAAAAAACGAATGTATCGGTCCATTATTCGATCCGAGAAGTCGCGGTGGTGGCAAGCATCCATGATCATCTTCAAACCATGAAGAAATGGGGGAATTTTACATCGGCGTTTGGGGCGTAGAGTTTTGTCGCAGTTTACTCCGAAATTACCATCGAAGAAGAGAAAGTGAGACTTGAACTGAATTTGCGGGAGAAAGTATAATCAATTTTAACTCCTCTAACTTTTTAATTCTATCCTCTTCTCTAGATTTTAATTAATATTTTGTTTAGTAATATAAAAAGAAATAATAGATTCACTAGATTTTAATTAATAGTTAAATTAATGCGAAAATATTTATGTATTTTTATTTAATATTTTGTTTAATAATATTAAAGGAAATAATAGATTCACTGCACCAGTACTTTTAATTTCAATTTTTTCAATTTATGTGAGCTTTTTACTTTAACGTGGATATTGTAATTTTTAAAATATTTAAAAGTAAAATGCAAATTGACTGAGTAAATGTTTATTATATAAATTATTTTTCTAATCAAATAAATTGTTAATTTTTCGTATAAATAATAATATATGAATGAATAGAGACTACATTTGAATGTGAGTAACTATAAACATAGAGATAGCTGTGAAAGATATAAAAGAATTGAAAGTCACTACATATATCAATAAGGTACGTTTTTTTTTTTTTTCTTCTTTTTTTTCAATGGCTCGATCATTGAAATTTCATAGTTAATTGTGGGATGCATGTAAGTGAGGTGCTGGAAGGACTCGTATTGATCTGTAAGGATAATTTTTACTCGTAAGAAGCGAGGAGTAGGTAATGAAACTATGTTGTGGGAGAATGTCGGGAATTCCAAATCTTGATTTGAATCGTGGGTATAAATAATCACGATTCAACTATTTTTAAAAGTAGTATCAACATTCCTTATCCTTATAATAAAAAAAAAAATTAAAATTTTACCGTAAATATATGAACAAAAATATTTGCTGACAAACATTTTAAGGGTATTTTTAATTAAATGTATTTTTAAAAAAGTGAAAATTTTTGAAGATATAAAGATTTAGGGATTATTCATCAATAATTTTAAAAGTAAAATTAATAATAAAGTAAGATTAGTGGCATAATCTTTTATATAATTTACTTAAAAGCATGCTTAATCTGATCGTTTTCTTATTCATGGGAGTAGACTTCGATTCTTTCAAGTCAAGACGAACTTTCATCCGGGTGAAATCCAAGACTCCGATGAAGAGATCTCCTGTACGGTGGTCCGATCTGCCTCCTGAACTTTGTCTGGTCATCGGAAAACGCCTCGAAACCTACATCGATGTCCTCCGATTTCGCAGCGTCTGTAAATCGTGGCGAGCTTCTCTTCCTGGTTTCGACGGCATTTCTCCTCTTTCACCTCTTCAATTCCCTTCCCCCGCCAACGCTGGCCGTGGTTACCTTGCCGCTGGCCACACCTTACTCCACCGAAGGATAATCTATTGTTTCAGTCCTCTCCATCATCATCGAACTTCTAACTCTTCTTCTTCAAGGTTGTTTACGAAGGATAAGAGCGCAAAACTCGGTACAGTCCGTTTTGTAGATCTGTTTTCTAATCTATTAGTTGTATTCGATGACGAAACCTTTCGGAAGGATGTGAACTTCCTCGATTTTCGAATTTATGAGGTTGCGAAATCGTATGCGCTTCAATACACTCGTGGTGGTCTTGTTTCTGGAATTACCAAGGTTATAATGTACCCTGATTCTGGCTGGACCGATTTTAGGACCAGAATCATTGTCGCAGTTTATGGAAGAGGTAAATTAGGGTTTGCAAAACATGGAGATGACAATTGGACGCTAATCGATGACGTTAATTTTCACTACAACGACGTGATTATGTACAAGGGGCAGGTTTATGCTGTTGATAAATGGGGAACAGTTTTCTGGATCGATTCATCGATGAAATCGGTACAGTTTTCTGTTCCATCGTGTGGTTTTGGGGATCATAAACATTTAGTGGAGTGTGGCGGCGAACTCTATGTTGTGGATCGATTTCTGCTCAAACCTGATCCAGATGATTGCATTCGCAATAATCCTAACATTGTAACTGATTTCAAAGTGTACATGTTGGATCAAGATTGGGGAAGATGGGTGGATGTGAAGAATTTGGGGAATCAAGCCATTGTTTTGGGGGACGGTAGCTGTTTCTCTGTTTCGGCTTCGGAAATTGAAGGGTTTCAAGCGAATTGCATATATTTTAACCACAAACAAAAAGGGTGGTTCAGCCAGGACTGTGTTCCTGCTGTGTTCGATCTCAAAGAAAGAAGGATTTTGGAAGCCTCAATCCATGGGAATGCAACAAGGTGTGGTGCGTTTCAGTGGAAGCTGTAGACTCCCAACATGGCTCTGTAGCCTTTAACCAGGTATTCTCTAAGGATCATCAGAGATAATGTTATGCACTTTTATGAATGTCACAGTTTGTGTGCAGTGTAAATTGTAACTATTTTGATTCATCATTGATCATGAGAGCTTATTTGAATTGTGAACACAATGAATATGAATATGAAATGCATACATTGGGAGTTTGGGGCTGATTAGCAGTTCAATGATTTTGATGCCTTAGTGTTCGAGAATTTGCTAGCTTTGGTTTGAGAAGGAAAGATTCCTAGCTCTAACTAGGAATAACTAAAAGTGTTTGAGAATTTACTAGCTCGGTTAGTGGTGGGTTTGGGCCTATAAATGATATTAGAGTCAGACACTGGGTGATGTACTAGCTAGGACGGTGAGCCTCCAAGGGGGTGGACATGAGCAGTGTTCCAGTGAGGATGTTGAGACCCAAAGGGAGTGGACACCGAGCAGTGTGTCAGCGAGAACGTTAAACCTTAAAAGGTAGTCAATTATGAAATCTCACATCGATTGGAGAGACAAACGAGTGAGACAAACGAGTGTCAGCGACGATGCTGACTCCAAAAGGGGGTGGGTTGTGACATATCACGTCGATTGGAGAGGGAAACGAAACATTTTTTATAATGGTATGGAAACTTTTCCCTAGCAGACGCGTTTTATAACCGTGAGACTGACGATAACATGTAACGGGCCAAAATGGACAATATCAGCTAGTAGTGGCCTTGAGATGTTACAGGTTTGAACACAGTTTGAACCTTGTAGTAGGTGCTCCCAGCTAATAAGGGATCTCGAGCCAGGCTTCCACTTATCGAAAAAACACCATTTTCCCTCCAAATTGTGAAGATTATTCTACAACAACATCAATAACTTCTTGATTTTTGAAGTTACCTCGAGACACATTAGACACTTCACAATCACAAACGAAACAATAGATTATGTTCCATTCAAAATTGTTAAAATCACTTTCATTTCACTGAATTTAAATGATTTTCCATTTGAGATAAAATGATAATAATAATAATAAATAAATAAATAAAAATTGAGCGTTAGATTTTTTTTAGGTTGGAAATAATGTTTTTAATCAATTATTAACAAACAAAATATATATATTAAAAAAATTAATATAAATTTAAGGAGGTTTTTAAACTAATACAATTTAATTAGTTAAGTCACGATGAAAATAAGTTACATTAATACGTTAAATTTAGCCAAATAGATTGACTAACTTAATTATGCTTTTAATTAATTGGATATTTATACTAATTTAGTAGTATGCTAGAAAATAATACTTTTATATTACATCATTAATTTGTTGAAATTAAAATAAAGGTTTTAATTAATATTTAAAAAGTTTAGATAGCAATTTAATGATTAAAATAAATATTAAATTATAAATTTTTTAAAAAATTATTATAATAAAGTATTTAAAAAAATATATATATGTTTAAAACAAATAAAGACGACCACACTATCCCAATCATTGAATTTGTTTATTTATTTATCTATTTATGGGAATTCCATGGACAGGATTGATGCAAGCCCAGTTCCATCCACGAATTAAAAATGGACAACGGAGTGCGGTGGTCGGAACTCCCGCCGGAGATATGGTTGGCAGTCGGAAAACACCTTCACAACTACATCGATGCCGTCCGATTTCGCAGCGTTTGCCGATCATGGCGGTCCTCTGTTCCTCCTGTCCCCAAAATATCTCCTCCTATTCGTCTCCGATTTCCCTCCCCAATCAACACTGCAAGTCTCTTCGTCGACGCCTTCCTCTCCCAAAGTACCTTCTATCGTCTCGCTCCTCTCATCCACGAACAGAGCCCTAACTCGTCTTCCTCTAACCAGAATGGCCGACTGGTGAAGCTGGAGAAATCGGAGCTCGGTAAGATGCGGTTTCTTCATCCTCTGTCCAAGCGCCTAATGCGATGCAATCCGGAAGAACACAAGGAACTGAACTTACTGGATCTTCGAATCGACGAATTAGCCATATCGTATTCGCTCAAATACACTGATACTGCTTGTGTTCCTGGAATCGCTAAAGTCATGGTGTTCCCTAAATCCACCGGACCAGACGTTGAAGATTGTACTGTAATCGCAGTGTTTGAGGACGGGAAGTTAGGGTTTGCCAGATCTGGAGACGAGAAATGGACTCTAATCGACGAACAGAATTTCCACTACGACGATGTGATTGTCTACAATCGGCAGTACTACGCAGTCGATAGATGGGGAACTGTTTTCTGGATCGATTCATCGATGCGATTGGTACAATTTTCTCCTCCTCTGATCGGTCTCGGCCAGCAGAAGCACTTGGTAGAGTGCGGCGGCGAACTTCTGGTAATCGATCGGTTCCTCGACAAAGAGCGTTCGGTTCAACATCCAACCGATATCATGGACGACGCACATCCAATGGCGATTCCATTTCGACGGCCGGATAACGATTCGTCACCAAGAGCAGTCGATTTCAAGGCTCATAAGCTGGATCAAGAATGGGGGACATGGGTGGAGCTGAAGAATTTGGGGAATCGATCGATTATATTGGGGAACGACTGTTGTTTATCAGTTGAAGCGTCAGAATTTGAAGGATGCAAAGAGAATTGCATTTACTACACCGATGTTAACGACAACGAGTTCTCTAAAAGAAGTTTCAGCCGTGTGTTCGATCTTGAAGGAGGAAGAATCGGAAACATATTGTGTTATCCTGGACGCATCGGAATCTTCAGCCCGCCGCCGATTTGGCTCTCCAAATCCCTTCCCCCCCTGAAGGTCAAATTCAATTCCATTTTGTCTCAACTTTCTTAAATTTTCATTGATATTTTCTGAGCTTTCTTCCACAACTATTGTAGGACATCCTGTTTGCTGCCTCTCCACATCGCCATGAAAACTAGCAGCTGGAAGGAAACTGGCGTCTGGATCATCAAATATCACAGAACCAAGTATGCTTTCTTCGCCATTTCTCTGCAAACATACCAATCTTCTTGTTTCTGATCTTTCAATGGGAGCAGAGATTCACTCATATAAATTGCTGCAAGTTCATCATGTTTATAATTTGAGCATTGGTAGCATTATAACAAATATTGTCATGTTGGGAGGAGAACGAATCATTTTTTATAAGGGTGTGAGAACCTCTCCCTAACATATGCGCTTTAAAAATTGTAAGGCTTATGGTGCTACGTAGTGGGCCAAAGTGGACAATATCTACTAGCTGTTGAGCTTTGAGTATTACAAATAGTATTAGAGTTAGTCATCGAACGATACGAGACACTAGTTGGAGTAGGGCTAAGCTCTTTCCATAGTAGACACATTTTAAAATTGTGAGACTAATAACGATACATAACCGACCAAAACGAATAATATCTGTCATTAGAGTAAGTCACCGAACAGTGTGAGACACTAGTCGGAGTAGAGTTAAACTCTCTCTATAATAGACACGTTTTAAAATCGTGAGGCTGACAACGATACATAACCGATCAAAACGAACAATATCTGCTAGCAGTGAACTTGAGTAGTTATACACCATCTACATACCAATTATGGTGCTCACATGTAGTCAAGTGCCAAGTGGATAGTTAATGAAAGTATCTATCAACGTCTAAGTAGTAAATCCACCTCAAAATGCGTGTTCAAGTTCTCTCCTTTGACTTTTCAAACTTCTAAGGATGAACCCTAGTTAAGGTGTTCGAGTGCTCACCTATTTGACTTTTCATAGCAATTATATGCTCTTACGGGATGGAGCCCTAGCGAAGGGTGTTCGAGTGCTCTCCTATTTGACTTTTCGGAGTAGTTATATGCTCTCGAGGGATGGAGCCCTAGTCAACGATTGCGCATTTCTTTTTAATTAAGAAAAAAATTATTTGAAACATAATATTTTGTGTATTATTTATATATATATAATTAAATTCACTTAAAATCATTAATTACTGTAAATAATCCAAATTATACCACTAAACGTGGGCTATATATATGCTTAAACCCACTTCCACCCTTTTAAAACTCCAACTAAACGCCCAAAAATAGTATATATTTACCGATTTACGGCGATTTTTTTTTTTTTTTTTTGAATCGGTGGTTGTTCCCCGCATCATTCTCAAAGCGGCGGAGCAGATTCTTCTCGTCCGATGGACGACAGCTGCGTACAGTGGTCCGATCTCCCTCCTGAACTTTGGACGGTCATCGGAAAATACCTTGATACCTATATCGATGTCCTCAGATGTCGCGGCGTCTGCCGATCACTGCGTGCTTCGTTTCCTCCGTTCAACGACGTTTCTCCTGCTCTACCTCTCCACGTTCCTTCTCCTTGCAATGACGACGCTGATTATCCAATCAGATACAGTATACTCACTCGAAAGATAATCTATCGCCTCAGTCCCCTCGATTTCCATCAAAATAACGCGGTTTCTTCATCTGCGGCGGCGAAGAGATGGTTTGCCGTGGTGGAGACTACACAGAAAGGTAAATTCCGATTTCTGGCTCCTGCTAACCTGTCTAATCTTCGATTAACCTTCGAAAGCTTTCAGAAGGAAGTGAACTTACTGGAATTTCGAATTCACGAATTGGCTAAATCGTATGTGCTTGTAAACACCGACGGCGTTTGTGTTCCTGAAATTAGCAAGGTCGTAATGTTCCCCGATTCTCCCTGGATCGACGCGAAGAACTGCACCGTTTTAGCGATGTACAAAAACGGAAAATTAGGTTTCGCTAAACTTGGAGATGAGAAATGGACATTGATTGAGGAACATAATTTTGACCGCGGGGATGTGATTGCGTGCAGGGGACAGTTCTATGCAGTTGATAGAAAAGGAATAGTTTTCTCGATCAATTCATCGTCGATGAAATTAGTGCTGATTTCTCCTCCATTGTGTAGCTCAGGTAAACAGAAACATATGGTGGAGTGCGGCGGCGAGGTTTACGTGGTGGATCGATTCGATGATGTGAGTGACACTGAGACTGGTTCCAGTGAGAGCGAGAGTGGGAGTGAGAGTGAGGAAGAAGAAGAAGAAGAAGAAGAAGAAGAAGAAGATGAAGATGAAGATGAAGAAGAGGAAGAGGTTGAAATCAAAGTGTATAAAGTGGATTTGAATGATGACTACCTAAGAAGAAGATTGGAGGAGGTGGAGAATTTAGGGAATGAAGCGTTGTTCTTGAGGAAGAGGGAGAGCAGTTTCTCTGTTCCGGCAACAGATTTGGAAGGAATTCAAGGGAATTGCATATATTATGCTCGAAGATCAATGATGATGAAGAAAGGATTCTGAATTCTGCAAATCATCCATCCAAGAACTCAATAGGTTTGTCCCTCACTCACTACTTTTTTTTCTTCTTCTTCGTATTAGGGTTTAGGGGAGAATCAATTTTGATTTTGAAATTTACAATTTGGTTGTGTTCAACATTCAATCTCAAAATTCATGCTCGTTTTTGTTTGTAAGTTTCAACAATTTGATGTTCGTGTTCTGCAAGTCTCTATCATTGCATAAATCCAAATGTAGGGTCACTTTTTCAACTTGTTTAAGTTAAGGTCTACATTGGATAGGTTTTTGATATTTTCTCTCCGGTATATCTTTGAGTGCTCCTGATTTGATTTACATGGATTTCGAATGAATTCTTGCTTGATATCAAAAGAAAAGGAGAATGTAATTTTAAATCTGTGTTTTACATTAAAAATAATAAGAGACTTTAATTACTAAAACCTTTAAATCCCTTCCAATTTTAACCCTTAATTTGAGTTACCACTTCCAATATCATTAAAAGAATCAACTTAAGATTTCAATAAATTATAAACCATAGTAAAACAAAAAAAAAAAAGTAATAATAATAATAATAAACACTAGAGAAAATTAGCATTTTTTTTTTTTTTTGAAGTTTATGAATTTTGACGCAAAGGTATTTTTCTACAACACTTCATTGTACTGACATTAATGAGTTTAGAAAGATTTTTACGTTATTTTCAAATAAATTAAGTGAGTTGATTAACAATAATTGAACCTGAGTTAAAATTGTAACATTTCTTTAAGTTCAAAGTCTCATATGATGAAATTGAAAATTTTATGTTTCAAAAAATTGAAAATTCTTGAGTCAAATTAATATATATATATATATATATATATATATATATATATATATATATATATATATATATATATCACTTGCTAGAAGTTTGAATGGGTCCGTGGAAGTAGATATATTGAAAAATAAAAAATATAAACTAAAAAACCGTTTTTTAATTCTCAAAACTGGTTGGGATATTGAAAATATTCCAAAAAAATAGATAACCTATTCAAAGCATTTTATGAAATGTCTAAAATGCCAATGATAATACTATAACTTTTGAAACACTATATATATATATATATATATATATATATATATATATATATATATATGTATGTATATGTATGTATATGTATGTATATGTATGTATATGTATGTATATATATGTATATGTGTGTATATATATGTATATGTGTGTATATGTATGTATATGTATGTATATGTATGTATATGTGTGTATATGTGTGTATGGCAAAGCTCATAACTACTCATAATTTAACCAAAAATAAAATTTGAAAATTTAAAACTTGTTTAAAGAAAACCAAATTTGAAGGGAAAAAAAAAAAGAGATTTAGATGGAAAAGGATAAAAGGATGTGGGAAAAAGAAAAGTTATATGTAGTTTTTGAAAATTTGCTCCATTTTTAGGGATAATTTGTTTCTCAAACAAAAAAAAAAAAAAAAAAAAAAAAAAAAAAAAAAAAAAAAAAAAAAA